TCGCAGAGATAGCGGCTTTTTTTTTTTCCCCTCCCTTTTGAAGGTGTAAGTAGTGGGTGATCGTTATGACCGTTAGCTGTCCCTCCCCGCCTGTGGAGGGAACGCCCCAGCGGTTGAAGGGACAAGGGTTCGGGGCTGCTGGCACTGATGGGAGAAGCGTTTGTGCCCCTCATGCTGCTTCGGGTCACCCTTCTGCTGTTTCCGTGAGTGTTCTTCCTCAGCCGCAGCACCTGGCAGAGCAGCTAAGCCTTTTTTTTTTTTTTTTTTTTTTGTGGTAATACAGATGCATGGCTTGAGTGATCTTTTCGCTGCGAGTAGGGAGAAAAAAAATCAGTTTTCATTTCCCCCAAGGCTGCGGCTAACCGACATGATCAGCTCTGTGCGAGGCTTTTTAAGGGACAGCTTGCGGTGACCCAGGCTGCCCAACGAGGAGCCTGGTGCTGAGCACACTCTGTCCATGACAGAAGTTGTTCCATTCCCTCTAAAAAGAAGGAAACACTGTGATGAGCTTCTGAACCTCCTCTGGATGGAGAGCCTGATAAACACAGGAAACAGGGATACTGTTGCCAAGCTTTAGCAGAAGGGCAATATTTCAGCTGGGATCATAATAAACATAACAAAAATAATGATTTCTGTATATATTATTAACTCCTTTACAATTTTGTGGAGCAATGCTATAAGATTGCCCTGTTTATACGGTGTATATAATGGCAAACACTAAGTTACACTATGAATACCATACCATTTAAAATACTATATAGAATTTAATACACTCAGAAATGGGTTGTCTATTCCATCGTGTACTAAGCGCAGCACAATCTAGCTTAAAAGCTGGTATTTTCTTCATCTCTTGGCCACCTCTTAAATGCTTCAGAACTGTGAACATTTCTTTTTTACTGCCACAAGTTGAACTCTTATTTCTTCTTCTGAAAGCTGTGGACAAAAGTTTTTATATTTTCCTTGTTTCTAAAAATGCTGTTAATCCCGTTTTTTTTTCTCTCACTTCACACAAACAAATCTCCACTCCCTTTAATGTCTTCTGCCTGCAAGGGTAGAAGTCATTTATGTTGTCACACGCTTAAAAAAAAAACACTATTAACAGCTGATGAGAGTCACTTGGAATAAAGCTGCAGATATTTAAGGGCAAAATGATGACGGTTATTACATTGCTAAGGTCCAGAGCACTGAGTATGTGAGACTCAAAATGACCGTCCAGACAGCAGGGACTGAACGTAGTGCTCAGGGCCAAATTTGGAAATAAAGCCGACAAAGTACTTTGTATGTAAGAAGCTGCTGCCTCCTAACATTTTTGTTTTCCTTTATTTCACTGCTTCTAATCTGCTGGCATTCCCTAAAAAGCCACTTACAATAATTTATAACAGGAGCAACAGCAGGTAAAGTGGAGAGTAAATCGGATAAAGCTCACAAACAAAACCCCACAAAAAAGCAAGTGTTTCCACACATCCTGCCAGAGCATTTAGGAACTCCTTAGAGCCTTTGCAGAACGCGCTTTCCCACCTGGTGACCCACATATCTTACTGTGACTGCTGCACGTGGCAGGCATTGCCCGGGCTCAGTTTTGGACGTTCCTTACATTCATAGTCGTATACCTGTTTTTTAAGGAGAAAAATATCACAGCAGTGAAGTCATTGCTTCTAGCAGGACTAAAAGGTGGTGAATCAGGACAAGTTCTCGCGCTAGTGTCACTAAATACATTTTAATAAGCTCATGAGAATAAAGAAATGATTTATTTTTGATTCTCTTTTAAGAGCGCAGCACATCATCTTCAGCTGCAGTTGTTCATCTTTGCACCTCACTCTTCCCGTAGTTTCTTGCATCTCCGACTGTGCTGCTCAGCTGGGACGAGGCCAGTGTCCCCAAAGCCGCAACAAGCCCTCAGGTCTGACGAGCCCTCCGGCAGCCCGCTCCGCGTTTTGGGTGGAAAACACCTGAAATAAAGCGGTTTGGCCAAGGACACCTGCTCACCACCTCCACACACATCACCCATCGACACGGATAGATTCCGGCAGTTTTAGCCCTAGCTCTCCCATGGGCTCTTCTGAAACATTCACCAGAGATCTGGACACAAAAGCCCCTCAATGCAGCAGTCTGTCACCTTTTTTTTTTTTAACTGAAGAAGTTAAAAAGGGGGAAAACATGTAAACCCAAAGGTGTTGCAGCAGATTTTGTTGGACAACAAGCACAAATCGGGAATCATTCATTCCTTTTATTTAATCCACTCTGTTCACTCATTTAATCCCTGGAAACGCATGTGAAAACGGGTTTCTTGGCCCGCTGTAAATACTACTTACCAATGTGATGCCTCTAGTGCTAGACACAGAGCTCCCGTTAGTGCGTTGCAGTATAAGGAAACACCGGAGTTTTATTCACCGCCTGAAGCAGAGAGGAGTCTGCCAAATCTCAGCCTGCTACTGACGGCAGCTTTGGGCTGACGCTTTCAGTAAGCTCCTCTCGGTACATCTTTTCATTCCCAAATTCCAAACTCTGGTTTCTGAGATCGCTTAAACCTCAAGAAATCTGTTAGCAACAACTTAATCTCTTAACCAGGAAGCAGAAAGAAACCAGCAATCCCTCCGTTGCACGCTCACCATATAGGAAAAGAGGAAAAGAAGATACAAAACTGAAATTATTTCCTCTCCCGGGCAGATACACATTTTCTTGCCGCGTTCACAGCAAGCAGCCAGGCAGGGGATGCTATAAAGACACCGAAGCAGCAGGTCCTTGAAGTAGGCACCCAAGAAACCAGATGATAATAAGCAGACCAGACAGTTAAGACTACACAAGTAAGCAAATTTATTTTCAGACGGAACAAATATTGTGGCAAACAACGATATGCAAATCCAGTTGGTAACGGGTAAATACCGGACTCGGTTTTCAAAGAGATATAAAACATAGTCAGACTTCCTCTTGTCCAAAAAGCAGCTCGCGTAGGGGCTTGGGGAGGGGGAGCTGCTGGCTCCCTTCATCCGACCGTGCTGGGGTTAACTCCAAACACCTTCAGCTCTAGGATCCCCAACATGAAACCCTTCTGTGAGACGACCTCCTTCCCACCAGCTCCTACTGGATTAACCTCCCTCCCGGCCAGATCTGCAAAACAGGTGGGATGAAATTGCCTCCCGGCAAAACCAGGGCCTCCTGGAGCTGCTTTCTGGAAAGGCCAAATAAAAGCACACATAGAAATCGTCGGATTGTCAATGATACTTGGAAACAAATTCAAGTTTATCGCTGCGTGTGTGTCTTACGTCATACAAACAGATGGGAAAGACGCGTAGACTCGAGGCCGCGATGAGCGGCGTGTCCTCAGTTGGAGTCCACGGGAGCACCATCAGATATGGGAGAATTAGCACCACTGGTTTGTGGGACCCAACTGATGACACGCGCCATCGGGAAACCCGGCATGGGTGGCGGGGCGCGGGGACACGGGACAGTCCGTTATAAACAATACAAGGCAATTTATGAGTTTTCATACAGTACAATACAGCCACTGATCAATTCACCCTTTCAGTACAGTACAGGACAAGTAACACTTTGCACCCTGTTAACACTAGGAACGGCCAAATCTCGTTTTTGAAAACGACGTTCCCAAATTTGCGCTTCCTGCGGGCCAGCTGCGGTAACGAGAAGCGCCGGGAGGGCTCGGGGCTTCCTCCTCTGCCCAGATGCTCTCACACAAGTTGGGAGGGCACCGAAGCACCCACAGAATCCGCCTCCCCGATGCCCCCGCCGGCCAAAGCCGCCCCTTCCCTTCCCTTCCTTCGGCATAGTGAGAACAGGGTCCACTGGGAAAGTGCTAAGTTACAGTACATTTGCATTTTTATATGTCGACTATTGAACAGCAAAACAGCTTGTTTGAGAACAGATTCAGTATCGTACAGTAAAGTTCACACTTAATTCTTCACCGTTTCTACACTGGTAACACATGCATTTTATTTCCAGTATTTTAATGCCAGTAGGACTGACATCCCTCAGAACAATGATCTAACATGAAACAAAACTTCCCAAGGAAAATAGTAAGCATCACAGAAGTCTCAGAAAACCTGTTAATCAGCATCACAATGTACTCAGATTTACATTTAGGATTCTTCATGCCATGACTTTAAAACACCTTTTGGTTAATATCCTGAAAAAAAAAAAGAAAAAAGAAAAAAAGAAAAAAAAGGAACAGCTGGGGGAAAAAATATATATCCGTATACATCTATGCATATGCACACATACACACATGCACATGCAAATGGGTGCATGGGTATGTGTGCGTTTGGGACAGCTTCCATTTCATCTTTATGTGTCTGAAATACTTTCCTGAAAGAACTCTAAACTACGGGAGGAAATTTTAAAAGTCTCCTAAAAAGAAATGGTCAGTAAAGCATAGCCTGGGCACTGTTACAATGTGAACTAAAAAGAAACTCTAAATCACTAAAAGAAAATTTTGCCCTCTTAAAAGGTTCTTCCAAAGAAAGAGGTGCTGTGCTCTAGGTGACATTTGGGTTTCAGGTTGTGCCATGCAGTGGGAAACACTCATTTTTAGTCTCTGGAGAGCAAGATGCCAACTTGAAGGGGCAAAAAAATACACCTGTGGGGGGGAAAAAACAAAAAACAAGCAAAAGATCTGGTGTCTCTTCCCCTTTCTCACAAGCTTCATTTCAAAGACTAAATGAGACCAGGGTTACAACATAAAGCCTGAATTTTAACAAGTATAAAACTACATCTTAGCGAAAATGAGCAGGAACTAGGTTGTAAGTCACACAGTTACTTTTTGGTAACTGTGGTTGCCAACTTTGGTCCTAGTATCCGCTATAATTTGAGGGCTAAGGTCTGGCAGCATTGCCGGATAGGATTTCTTTAAAGCTAAATTTGCACAGTTAATTTGGCTTGAAAGAAAAAAAAAATCTGGATTCTACTTAGCATTAGCGCTTCAAAAATCCAAAGGTATAGAGGATATGAGCACAACACTTGAGGCTACTCAAGGTTTGTTGTTCTTTAACCACTTCCACTTCTGACTGAATACCCAAACCCAGAAAGGTCTATTGAAGGGAAAAGCTTCAACTGAACCCAAGCAAAAACATCTTCCCAACCTGGAGCTGGTCAGGTAAAAAATAAACGCTTCATCTGCTGGAAGAAACAAACCCAGTATTCCTACTTGCCCTTTTTCCAAAGGTTGTTTCCATCATGTCCGCTTGCTAGCAGCGAAGGACGTGGCCCAAGTCGCTTTTCTCAGCGCACACGCATCCTGTGACTGACTGCTGCAAACAGCGGCCCTTACCCATCACGGTCAAGGATGCTGCCCAAAACGGCTTCCACAGACGGTAGCAAAGCGGGACGCAGAGGAGCGCGACAGGCGGCTCTCCCCACGGACAGGCAGCGGCTGCGGTGCTGCACAAACCCCTCCGCGTTCGCAAAGAAGCCAACGCTACCAGCGGGCTGCGAGCTCAAAGACGGCCAACCCGGAGGAGTCCACGGCCAAGACGACAGCCCCGCTTCGGCCCCCGAGGATCCCCGCTGCGACTGCTGCTCGGGACAAGCTCTCAGCTCGGGCTGCCAAGCGCCCGTACCTCGCTGCCACGCAGGCCGAGCGGGCTCGGAAACGCACGTCAGACGCACTCCCTAGTGCAAAACCCGGTGAACTCCCACCACCACTTTTGCTATTCAACAGCAAACCCCGCTGTCATTATGCTCTGCCTCCTGCATCACCCAGAGCGATTTCCTCAGAACCACCTATCGCAGGTTCAGCCCACACGCTGCCTCGACAGCGCGTTCGGCACAGGCACAGTGATGGCTTTTATTGCAATGGCTTGAGCACAGTCTTTATCGACACCGGCATCTACACGGGGTTTTAACTTCGTTTCTCAGCAACCCCTCCTGACAACGAAGGCCAAGTTCTCATGCCAAAATCACAAGTACCTGCCACATGCTCCTCGCTCTGGTTCCATGTCACATCCCGCGGTCTGTGCAATTTGAAGTATAAAATATACAATCTTGCACCCTCTCGACCCCCCTGTGCAACCCCTCCTGTATCTTTGGTGATTTAAAAACCATGTGCTTGGTCCTCTGGGTGACCTCTGAGTTCAGAGCAGCCAAGTCCACCCAGACACCAGCAAGTCAAACGTTTCGTTCCGTTACTTAAAATCAGTTCCCATAGGTTTATTCCCCTAATTTATAAAATCGCTAACAGATATGTAACGGAAATTAGGCACCAGATAGTGGTCACGTACTCCTCAAAATGACCTTCTGACAGCCCCCAAACATTAATGTTGCCACGCATCAGAGGCTGCATGGACTGGGAAAAAACAAACGCCTCCAAACTCAGTGCTAATAGTACTTAGAAAAGTGCAGTGCTCAATATAGTCAGGAGCAAAGTGACTACTAGTACTTAAAGTGCTAGTTTTAAAGTCGGTTTGGTTCAGTGTCCAGGACGCGGGGAGAGCGCGCAATGAGGAACACCGAGCGCCGCGGCGGCGCCTGCCGCAGCCCAGAGCGCTGCCGCCCGCGGATGAGCGGGCACCTCGCGCCGAGGGGCCCAGCAACGAACACGAACCACTCGGGGGAGCACAGGGGACACGGCTTGCGAGGGAAAAAAGCAAAGGTCTCTCGGGGCGGTTACAGGTCTTTGCTACTGGACCCTGCAAGGGCAGCGAGCGCGGGCAGGCGAGCAGGCCCGCGCTGAGGCGAGCCGCGCTGCTGCCTCTCACGCAGCTTACGGAGGAGCAGCACTGCCAGCCACCTGCTGTCACATGCTATCTTACACTTACCTATTTACCTATTGGAGTGTTTTTCACTTTAACTAAGCTTTTTTTTTTTCTCTCTCTCCTAACCACCCTACCAGCGAAAGGACATTTCGCAGAGTAACGAGATGATGAAAGGAGTCCGCCTGACGATCCTCACATCCTGTCCTCATTTCTATAAAGGGAAACGAGACGGAGAATGGAGAACTTTGGGCAGTCAGGTATTGCCTCAACGTGCCTAGCACTGGGCATGAGAGAACAAGTAACAGCCACACATGGGAAGGCAGGAAGCCACACAAAGACAAAGCTGAGCACCAGGCACGGAAAGACTCTGGGAGTATCTGTCTGCGCTCAGATGTTGTCTGTTACTACCATGTTCTGGGAGAAGGCTGAAAGAGCGTGGATTTCCCACCACAGATGTCACATACTCCTTTATGAAAACTAAACTAAACAAAAAAGAAACCTGTGAGTCACTATAGCCACATGGTCTCTCCCAGGTGCTGACATCTGTTTTTTTTGGTCCCTGTGAATGATCGTGCTGACCTGAAAGTCATTTCAGGCAAGTACTGCAGGACCGGACGGCCAAGTTCAGGGAGATCAGGAGTGGGCAGCTCGAGTATCTGGTCCCAGGAACATCAAGAACCTGCAAAGTTGGGGAAAAAAGAATCCAGAGAGCAGAGGAAGCTGTGGAAGAAGCAAGCAAGCTAAGCACAAATGTTATTTTGTTCATCCTTTACACAGGCATATAGGAACTGCAGAAGGGTTGAAGTGAGAAAGGGCTTCTGAAAATCTCTCATCCTGTTCAGAGCTGCACCAGTTTGAAAAGCTCCTTGTATCTATAGCACTACGTTTTGGGTAAAGCTGTTAACACTTTCATGTACCTCATTAAAAAGCAGACCCCAGGGAGAGGGTTTTCCTGAGGCAGACAACGCAAATACTGTGGGAGAAAAAAAACATCAAGGGCAAGAAGTGACCTATGAAAGAGGTCACCCGTATCCAACGACCTGTATTTCAACAAGAAAGGAGCCAGGAATTGAGGTGCAGGTGGCATTTTGCAGGTGCAGAAGTGGAAAGCAACAGACAGGAAAGGCCCCAGCAGGCAGAGGAGCCCCAGATGCTGCCCAGCTCTTGCAGGGAGGAGGCCCCTCTCTTTAGAGCAGCGACTTCACATTCGTAGCTACATGTTTTTAATTTCAACCCTCTGAGCAGCTTATGGCAGCAGTGACGGAAAATAAAAGCTGGGCTGCTCTGCATCCCTCCATCCCACCCAAATCTCACTGTGAGGGAAAGCGCCCGCACTTTCACAATGCTGCTTTAAGGGAAACAATACTGGAGTCGTCTGGTATGAAAAGCAATACATTTTCTGAAAAGAAAAATGAAAAAAATGAAAATGAAAAGCAAAAAAAATTCTGGTATGGAAAGCAATCATTGTGCATCACACCGAGCAAGGCACCATTTTCCATGGCTGTTGTTATCACGCAATTTGAAAGTTTATTAGGAACAATGCTCTTCTTGGGGGATGCACAGGGTTTTGCTGCATTAAGGCCTGCAGGTATCTGCGGGCTAAAATTAAATGTGGACTTTCAGGGGTGACTAAAGTGATTCGCAGAGCGTACCGTGGAGCAGGGAGCAACCCAAGATTGCGCAGCATCAAAGGCGCAATGCAAACACGGGGCCACTTCTAATTACACACCAATTATCCCAAGAGAAAAGCAAACCCTGCAGCAGAAGACCAATTCGAGGCAGAAATAATCATCCCTTATTTGTACACATGCAACTTGGGAACTGTACTCTGCAAGCTTCATGCATGGGAAAATGTGCCCTACTCAAACCCTTTCAGCTGCAGGTTTCAACACAACCCGCATTATGAAAACGAGAGCTGCAAATCCATGCTCTCAGTTTAGGAAAAAAAGCTTCTTTTTTTTTCCTGCCCAAAAACTACCCATTGTGCAGGATGATATAAACACACCTTGCTTTTTTGTTTGTTTGTTTTTAATAGAGTTGAAAATAAAACCTGTTATAAAACATAAAAAAAAAAAATGCTGAGAGAGACTTTTCCAGCCGCACCTGAACCTGCCAGAGAGGGTCACAACCACGAGATGTCAAGCAACTTAGCACGTCTGTGTCAGTGCCCACGTCTTGGCCATGAAGACAGGGGTCTTTGCCAAGGAACACAGTTCCGAGCAGTTTTCTGGCAGGTTTCCGAGGCCAGAAGATGGAAGCACCACTTCATGCCTGCTCCGTGTTACCGACTCCTACCAGGATATTCACGTGCGTTGCTAGATGTTGATGTCTGCACCTGATGCTGTGAGACACGTTCCTGAGGAACCGGGGTAAGCAGAATAAATCCAATAAACTGCACTTCTGCAGTAATGATTCCTGAAAATGGGAACATTGGACCACTGGGACCTCACGTTGAAAGCAAAACATTTGATTAGCATCGGTGAGGCTTCCGAGCACACACTTACGAGTAAGATAGAGGTTATGTGGAGATCACTTTGCTTGCTACCCACTACAGCTTCTGGGTCAAACGCAGCAGCTGCCGAGCAAAACACTCTGCTAGAACAGAAAGGGGGCTCCTCCAAACCAGATACTGAAGAATCACTAACACAGCTTAACAGTACGTTCTTTTTTTCCCCCTAATCTGTTTACCTTTCAGGCAATGTTCCACAAGCAGCATAAAACTGCATAAAACTATAAGCAGAGGATCTCCCCTTTCTTGATATTAGAACTCTTACTTCATTGCAGTTTCTGCATTTATACAAAACTGAAATGAGAAGGAGAAGGTAAAAGGTAACTTCAAGCACTGCTAGCACCAAACTGCTGCTTTAGAAGATGGGCTGCTTGGTTAGGAAATTAGGAAACCTTTTGTGGGAGGTTGAAGGGAAGCCCCTCTGGGAAGGAATTTAGAAAACCATATGTTCCTGCTGCATCAAGCCAAAACTTCCCTGGGAGTCACATCTCCTGAGACTGGTACTATTCTGCCCCACGGGGCTTCTGTCCTGCAGCTCTCCAGTTTGCCAAGACTTTCCCTGGCGAGCTGCCCCAGAGAAAAGATCTCTTGGACGGAGCCCTGAGTATTTTTAAGAGCGATGGCTAAAACAGTCTCTTGGAAGACTGAAGGCCTGGTGAAAAACATCCAGCTCCTGCCCTCTTGCTCTTCCTCTTTTGCACGGCACCTTTGGCCTCTCCAGCGTGGCGAAGAAGATGATGGCCCAGGTCAAACAGAGAGGAGAGCCGCAGGGCACCGCGTGACAGCCCAAGGGCAGCGGGGCCTCGGCTTGGACGAAGGGCCCGTGTGTGCCCGAGGCTTCCCTGCCTGTGCTGCACTCACCTCGGTGCTCGCAGGCTGCCGCGACACACTCGCTCCGGTGTTGAATGCACCTCGTAGGTTTGGAAGGAGCACGGGCATTTTAGCAAATAGTTCCCCTAATTTTTGTCCCTCTTTTATGGGGCTATGTAGAAATACGTTGGACGTCATCCTTTGAACACTACTCCCTTGGGCTGATGCACAAGGTGACATGGAAGCAACTTGCAGTTACACACACGGAGAGGCGACTCCAGCTGTTCCACAGCCCATTCCAATGTCCTGGCGAGGGTGAAGCCCTGGCAACGTTTTGCTTCAGCCACACGTTTCCAGACTGCAGCCTATTTCTGCATTCAGGGAAACAAAACCGTAACGAAACGAAGGCTGCACATAACGAAGGCTGCACCACGACAGCCAGCTGGGGTGAGGAGCAGGAGCCGGAGCTCCAGCAGCACCGGAGCGGGTCGCTCTGCTCCGGGGACACCTGCGAAACCCTGAGCAGGAGCAGGACGTTGCGCGCTCCCTGCGCCCAGCGAGCGGCCAGCGAGCAAGCCCGCCATCAAACCTGCCCCAGGGAAGCGGTTTGTGCAACCTGCCTCAACACGAGGACAGGCTGGAACCCCTGCAGGACTGAATAACCACCATTACGCTGCTGCGTGACCCAAAAAATAAAGCCAACTCTGTATTTTTTGTGTCCCACGTGAACTACGGGCTGCTGTGGTTAGCAAAAGCATGGGGAAAGAGGGAACCAGGGCTGCTAGTTGTGTCCAAGAATGAGAATAAAAAGAAAAGCATGTTACGCAGTAGGGGTGGTGTGGGTATAATTAAATGCTCAAATTTTACAAAGCTACCTACGGTATTTAGAGGTTAATGTAAAAACA